GCCCGCCCGCTGCTCCTCGCTCTGCTCGGGCCGCGCTGCCCGGCGTGCGGATCCTCTGGGACCGCGCGGCCCGGCTCTCCGCTCGTCAGCCCGCGCGGGCCGCGAGGTCGCGACCGCTCCCTCTATTGAGGCTGGCTCGGGCACGGCGCGGGGCAGCTCCGGCTACAGAGGGGGCCGCGGCAGGACCATAGAGGGAGGATCGCCGCGGAGGGAGGTGGCGGCGGCAGATCGGCGCTGGGGACCAGGAGGCGGCGGCAGAGACGCTCCCTCCTCCTTCTACTCCTCCCGCCGCCGCCGCCGCCGCCGCCGCCGCCCGCCTGGGAGTGGGAGGGGGCTTCGCGGGACTGGCTCTCCTTGCAGGCGGGAGCCGCGGCCGCCGCCTTCAGCTCCTCCTCCTCCTCCGCCTCAGCAGCCGACCAGCTCCCGAGCCCGGCGCACCCGCCTCGCGCACACACGCCCTCCTCCCGCTACAGCCGCGCTGCCTCCCCACCCACAGGCCCCGCCCACTCCAGCCCGTCGGGGGGCGGTGGCCCAGGGAAAGGGAACAGGCCTGGGTGGCGCATGCGCGCGCCGCCGGCCACGTCACGGCAAATGGGCGGGCGCTGGGGATCTAGAAGGGGCGGGGGGGGTTGGCCCACGGGGCGCGCGGGTGGCAGCTGCTTAGGCGGTGGCTGGTCCGGGTCATCACCTCTGCGACCAAGCCGCGGAAGGGGCCAGGACAAAAGGTCCACGACCGAACGCATGGTCTTGGCTATCTGCGGCGAAAGGCTCGGAATCCCAGCCGCTCTTCACCCCTTCTTTTGTAACCACAGGAAGCCTTTCCCAGTTTTTGCTGGGAAAGGGTCCTAATGAATGGGAAAGCGAGAGGTGGAGAGGTTGTCACTCCAGACTGTGCTAGGCGGCGGATGCTTTTAATGCCACTCTGTCATTCTTTAATGAAAACGAGGGCTGAATAAAGGGGGGGGCGGTCGTCCACCTACAAGTAACGGACCGAACGAAAACTGTCCAGGAAGGTGTGCCACAACAAATGGCAATTTATAGAGACAGCTTCTCCCGCATTCTGCCCAAACTTAACAAATATCGACCCAGCGCCCGCCCCCGCTAGAGACAGCCTAGAGAGAGATCAGGAAGGCAGGAACAGAGACTTCAAGCCCCTTTGTATATTGCCCCCACCCCAAGCCCACAGGACCTACTCTGCTCCCTATACTCCATATAAATGTTATAGTAGACAATTCAGGATAAAAATGCAACTAGAGGGAGTGGATGCACAGGGTCAGCCAGGGAGTGAGGTTCTGGGTGTTGCCGCTGTGCTAGGTTGTATTCAGTATGAGGATTTCTGTTCCACTGAGCATGTGCGGAATGAGCCAACGCCATCAGACAGGTAGGTATATGGCTCAGTTGAGGACCAATAAAAAAAAGTCTTTGTTCCTCTGCACAGCAGAAGTGCCCAATTAGTTCATAAGTCAGCTTCTAGAAATCATCTGGTAAAATTCTTAGTGCGGTAATTTAAAAAGAAAAACGACAGTATTTACCAAAGTGTATGGGGTGGGTGGAGATCCACAGCCTATTTTCTCTTCAGAAACGTTTTGTGCAAACCTTTGACCACTCCCTCAAGAGGCTGAGAGATTTGCCACTGTTAAGGATTTGAGTACTAAACCTTTTTTTTTAATGCACATCAGAGGGAAAATATAATTGTTTGAGGAGACTTTCCTCCTTTCCCAAAGAGCTGTGCATTCTCTAGTAAAGGGAGCTTCGGAGCCTGAGAAACATCGCTTCCACTGAGGGTCCCACATTTCACTTGGTGCACACTGTCCTCTCCTTTAATTACATTTAAAATGCAGATATTCCTGTACTAAATATGAAATCCCTTAAATGGTTGGAGCTGACACTGTAGGTGCTCTATTCAAATCCCCTCCTATCCGTTTTACCTTTCTCTGTGCCCTTCCTCCAGCAGCAGCATGTTTTTGCTTCCAAAGCCCATGCCTGTGACTTCCGAGGACTTCCCACAAGCTACTGGAATCCCTTTGCATACATGGAAGTGCCTGGGAGTTTAGGTCTCCCCCATCTGGCTGTTAGTGCAGGAATGTGAAAGCCCAGCTCCCTTCCCCAGGAGAGGGGACAACTCTGAGGGGTCACTTACAGCCTGAGCTTCCCTGTGAGATCAGGTTGCAGCTGCCTTCTGCAGGACTTTGCCTAGCTCCCTCCCCTTCCCTTTCCTACCTCTCTCATTCCCTAACACGTTTCTCCTGGGAGTATGTCCTTAATAAATCATTTGCTCATGAATCCCCTTATCAGGATCTGCTTTGGAGGAACCCAACCTAAGACAATGGTGTTTCTCAAAGTGACAACTGCATCCATATCATCCGGAAGCATATGAAAAATGTTAAAACTTTTTGATTCCTGGACCCTACCCAAGACTTATTGAATCTGAAACTCCTGGAGCATATCACAGGGATCTGTATTTTTATAAGCTCCCTTAGTGAGTCTTGTACACCTAAAAATTGAGAACCCTGCCCTAACACTGGCCTCTGAATAAGCTCACTGAAAAGAAAAAGAAGCCAGGGCTGACTTCATCACTAGGGTGGATAAACCATAACAAATGCAAAAGAACACTTCAGGGAGCAGAAGAGGATATGAATACAAATGTGTTTCCTTCTGTAAACCTCTGTCTAAAGATTCATTTTACCCTTCTTCCTTTAATATCAATGAACAAGTCACTGGAAACTTTTGTTTGACAGTAGAAACAAGATTGCCTTTGGACACAGCACAGTGCCTGTATACACTGAACATGTTGTAACTCAAAATTAAATCAAAAGGTATCTATTCATTGAGCCATTTAAGATCACACGTGCTCATTGGCCTCCTGGGGACTCCACATTGTGCTATGTGCTAATGGAGACTGCAATAATCAGGATTCTTTAGGTTACAAGTAACAGAAAACTTAAACCAGCTTAAACAGTACAGAGAATTTTTGACTCACATAACTGAAAAGTTGAGATGCATGATAGCTTCATGTGAGGCTTGATCTAGGGCTCAAATGATGTCACTGAAAACCCACTTTCTCCCAGTCTCATCATTGTGCATTCTGTGGTACTGGCTTCATCCGTAGGTTCTACAAGGTGGCCCCCAGTACTTCATGGTCTCCCCTCGAAGTAGCAAAATAACTGCTACTGTTCCAGACTTCACCTTCTTATATGTCAGCATCCAGGAAAAGAAGACTCTTGTCCAGTAGGTCTTGCCCATGTTCTAGGATTTACTCTCTCTCATTTGCCTTATATTAAGGCACATGACCATCCCTGAACCAATCACTGTGGCCAGGGAATGAGTCACTGAATAATTTAACCAATCAGGCCCCACCCTCAAGCTGGGCATGAGAATCAATCTCCTGGCTGAGAATGTAGGGATAGGAAAAGTCCCCAAAGGAAAATCAGGACACTTTTTGGTAAGAGAAGAGCAGAATGAATAATGGGAAGGTCCCTGTTCTCTTAGTTGCCCAAGCACTGGCATTGACTTTTTCTTAGCACTCTACTTTCTCCATGTTGAGCTAATAATTAGACCCTGTCATTTTTTTTTCAAAATTTCTTTTAGATTCTGCCTCTCTTTTCCACTTCTTCAGTTCTCACCCCAATTAACTCCCCCATCAGCCCATACTTAGATGTTGCTTCACTTTACTCACTGGGTTCCTGTCTCCAACTGCTTGTCCCATCCTGCTCACCATGGGGAGGCCCAATTCAGGTCCATGAAAGAATTATCAGCATCTAGAACAGTGCCTGGTATGTAGTAGGTATTCAAAAGGCATTTGTTGAATGATGAATGAATGAATGAATGGCTTCATAGGCCTTATCACTTCCTGGAATTCTCTTTGATTTGTTTTGTCTATAGCCTTTCTCCTTCAACTCTTGAATCTAGAAAGTGTCTGGAACATAATAAGTACTCCAATATGTGTTTGTTAAATAAATAAATAGTTGCATGTTTCTTGAATTGGATTAGAGAATCAGTCATAATTATGAAGAGAATGAGGAGCCAGTGGAAACAGTTAAAGTGGTTGGATTCTTGGGAAGAAAATGCATAACAGAAAAAATACAATTTTCACAGATGAAGGGAGAGTCAATAGTATCAGATCTGAAGAAGTATCAAAGAGAGCAGGGCCAGAAAAGGGGGCATTGGATTTATTTCTACAAATTGAAACTAGTTCTGCTAGCTATATTTTGTGTAGAAAAAACAAATTTAAATCTCACGCAGCATTTAAAAGTTTTCCTTCTGACTTAGCTATGAGAGATTTTGAAGGTAAAGTGGGAAACTAAATTGGTAGCTCCTCCTTAATTTCCTTTTCTGTATTTCCTGGTGCTTTCTTTCCATGCTGCCACTAAACTGTCACACTAGGTGGCAAAACCGCACAATCAGCTGCAATGTGTCCAATGGGTGACTTATATTGAGCCCAGATCTGACTAAGTTGCAAAGAGTCATGTAAGTCACCCAAGCCTCAATAGAAAGAAGTATAATTTACTATGCTAAGTGCACTGAGGAAAAGGTCAAGTGATTAATAAGTCACCAATATGAAATACAAGCCTATCAACACTGGTAGGTTTAATCATTTACCCTCCTCAGGGCACAGATGGAGCAGATCCTTTCTGGGGGTCTTATCTAGCAGTATGTGTCTGTAAAACGCTTAAGGAGATATTTCCTTCTTACCATACTTTCTCATAAATAATACCTTCTCTCTCTCTCTCTCTCTCTCTCTCTCTCTCTCTCTCTCTCTCTCTCTCTTT